AAGTGTGGAAAACACAAAATTTTCATATCAAATTAACCATCATATTACAATAGCTTAAGGCCCTATATATAGGCCATAACATGAGAAAATAAAAAAATTACAAAAATGCCCCTTGGGCCATAACACTCAAATAAACTAACCTAGGGGTAAAACAGGAAATAACATAAAATAATAGCTAAAATTCATAAAATAAATTTTAAATAACAATTTAAATTAGATCCGTCGATTTACAACACCTCCTGTGATAGATGCGTCAGATCTTCGTGCCGATGTCCGCATCAAATTTACAAGGTTTACAAGTCCTGTGTGAATGTGTTACATTATCATTTGTTAGCATATCATTCAAGTATTGGCATAACACATAACTACCCATGTTCTACGGTATTTCATTGAAGTACACAACAATAAAACTAAAATAAAATGGTAATCCTAACATGGTTAATTCAAATTCACTTGCATACACTACACCTAGAAAAAAAATCCAATTCTAGATGATAAATTACCTTATTTTTAAAAGAAGATAAACACCCCAAAACAAGATTGCTTCCATTAAGCAATAATATTTTGCTAAAGAGTATATAAAGAAGATCTTTGAAAATAATCCTATGATGCACCGACACGGACACGGTGACACGGATACGACACGGACACGGCATTTTTTAAAAATATAGGACACGGGTGCGGCGTGGATATGGCATAATAATTTTTTAATATAATATATAGAAATTATGGTGACATTATATTAAAAATGACAAGCAATAATAAATAAATTTCATGATAACTTGTTTAGCTTATAACATAAAGATGTTTAGTACAAAATGTCTATCATTCAACATAGAAATTATAATTTCATTTATATCTTGATTATTCATTGTTTTTATCTAGATAAGATTGTAACAAACCAAACATGCATAGGAATACATCAAGTTAAATTGATATGAAGTGAAATCAAAATATCCCAATAATAAGATAACATGAATACAACAATATACCGGTCTGTCAGGGGTCCAAGGGGGCGCTGCCCTATGGCGGGGTTCGACCTGCGGGCCTGCGGGGGTTTCCAGGGGTAGCGCCTCCAAAACAAATTTTTAGGGTATGAGTAATTTTGAAGTTATGCTTGTTTTTAAAATTCGTAAGTTGTTTGTATGGAAAGATTCCGAGCGGTACCTAGCATGTACCTGGAAGTGTATAAGTTTAAAGGGTTGAGTGTATAAGTTTAAAGGGTTATTGAGATCATATGAAAGCTAAAAGTAAATGGAAGACTTGTTCTTTCTTTGATTGGAATAATTGGTCTGTTTTGAAGTGCTACACTTTTGAAGATTACTAACAATTTCTAAATTGTAATGTGACAATTGTTGTCCACAAAATATCCAAAAGAAATCAGATTACTGGACAATGAGGAACAAGATATATGACTTAAAGATGTAATTTTTTTAACTGTATATGACATATACCACAAATTGGAAGAGGTTTCCCATCAGCAAAGTGAACTTTTAGAATTGCCATGGTAACGAAGTACAAATAAAAATTTGTGCAGGAGTGATCACAAGCTGAGATAAATTTAAGTTGTCACTGATCGAAGATGAGAGAGATGCTTCAGCAGAACTAAAATAGGTGTGACCAGTCTTAGTTCTTTTTGATCAGGTCTCCGTCAGCATTCAGTCACCTTCCTTCTTGTAATCTGCAATATTTCGGATTAAAGGTACCACCAATATGGCCATCATTTTTTGCATAAATAAACTACATTTTGGCTCTCCTTCATTTTAATTTGTAAAGGAAGCTTCAACATTACTCGGAGGCACTGAGGTTTTTTCTGCTTATAAAACATCTTGGAAACATACATCTAAATACGTTACAGACTTTGTTTTCATCAAACTCTCTCTAACGATCTAAAATTTATCGCCCGTATTTCCTTGTTGGAGTTCTTGATCAACAAACAGAGCTTAAACATAATATTTTCATAAACGATAGAATAATATTTCATCCATAGATTTACAAATCCCAAATAAAACTCCTAAACAGTTTCTGTATCACGTTATATATTCGTTAATCTCAATTACAAAATTGCATTTCCTAGAATCATCAACTTGATGATCTAATTTCATTAGAAATATGATTAAATATCCACATACTTAAAGCAGATTAATGAGCCCATAAATTTAAACCAACGTGGGACAATACAAAACATAGAATCCAGCTCATCAGCTATGTATAGGTTTTCTTCAACTTTTCAGTTTTTTTTTTTCCTTCAACTTTTCAGTTCTTTTTATTGATCTCCATTAAGTTTTGGTTCACTAAAAATCAATATAACCCCAAAATTTTCAGTTCATAATGAAGCATGCTTAATAAAACTCTACAGGAAATATTGTTTCCAATTGAAACAAACAGGAATAACATCAGATTTGGTATTAGGCTCCTAAGGTAAGAAATGCAATAACTATGGAATCCAAAGGGAATAGAGAACCCGAACTAATAACAAAGGATAGAATCTTGTGAGAGAAATCAGAGATGCTGAAGATAGTTTGCAAGCTCCTAAATATTTTTTAAAGCAGTAAAATAGAGATTGACTAGAGGAAAGTCCTTAGACAACTGATGCAAAAGGCTATCATAGCATGATAAAGAAGCTAAAAAAATGAGAGTCAATGCACTCTCCCTGAGGCCAAAATCCTCTTATTAAAAACGTTTATCTTCCAAGCATAGAATGTACATGTGTAAAAATGGGGTGATAATAGTACACAGTTGTCCCACAAAAAAAAAAGAAGCTAAATTCGCAACCTAAAAGGAAAACGAATATGCATATGCAATAGGGTATGCTATCACTGCACATAGTTGAATAGGACATGATATAATGTGTGCAACGTCATGTACACAGCTATTGACAGTTGCATCATGCTGTTTTCAGCAAGATCTTAGGGTGGAACATCATAAAATCTATCCAAACGAATGTCCAACTACTCCTAAAGTTGTGGTTCACTATCATGAACTATCCTCTGAATGAACTTCGTCTTCATTTAGGTTTAGATAAACCTTTTCCTAGGCAAAATCAGAAGGGCTTTCTTCTCACTTGATACTTCTAAATATCCTGATCTGGATCGCTTCCCCCTTTTTTTTTTCCACGGAATGTGAGTTATCATTCAGAATCTGCAATATCTCCCCTTATTTTACTTATACCTAAAAAAAGGACAACAAATTTGGCTTAAATTGGAATTATATGTTAATGAAAAGAATACTGGGATTTGGAAAAGATATAATTTTGAGTTGAGCTATATTTCATGTTGTCTTATTATTGGGATATTTTGATTTCACTTCATATCTTATATTTTTTTATGTTTTATATTATTCACTCATTAGTATATAAAAAATTTATCATTTTATGTTTACGCAATCTTTTGATTTTGAGGCTTACGCCTCAAAACGCCTTGAGGCTTACGCCTCGCCTCACGAATGAAAAACGCCTCAATA